CATCTGTTACCTTCCTCTGCAGTATACCAAGGCGATCCTGGCATTTTAATGTAATTTATTATAAGCCATTTTTTTTTTTTGGTCCATGTTTAAACCCAGTCAGCTAAACAAACTGTCAGAACCCTTTCCAACACCCCAAATTTACATCCAGAATTTATTCTTAGTGGGGCAATATCAATCAATTTGACCTAGTCCAAATTTTTGTGCCTTCCAACATTATCTAACATCATGAATATCCATTCCACACATAGTCCCCAGAATTTTGTCTGTATAAATTGAAAAAATATACAATGATTTTGGAGTGGAACACACCTTTAATGGGTTAAACTTTGTATCTCACCTTTTTTCACCTGTTGCCACTTGAGTCTACTTATACCTATAAAAGGAAAGAGGATTGGTGGGATTGGATCCTCAGGAGAATCAGCATTGTCTTTAGGACAACCACCTCAGCAAAGGCCATCACTCTTCTACCAAAGAAGACTCAGCAGAACTTAGGGGTTCACTGAGCCCAGCTTCATCACAGACTTCATATATGTCTTCATTCCAATATTCAGGGTCCCGTTTTTCCCAATGTCTGTGTTTAACAGAAGAAACTTTGCTAGGCTGGGGGTTTAATTTGTGATGTAGTTCAGTGACTAGCAGGATGAGACTCTGGGCTAACTGTTCAGAAATCTCAGGCTTGTGACTATAGGAGATAAAGGTATAATCTAAGACAGGCATAGGCATTTTCGGGTCATATATGAAGGTCATAGGCTAGAAATTTGAAATCCAAGCTCACCCTTTTTCTCTCTACTTTCTATAGCACGGTTAAGAGCAAAGAGCCAATCTTATTGCACTCATTATTTGACAGAGCTGTTCTAAGTTATCAAATTCTTGGTCACTGAGAACCTTGCCTTATCAATACTTGAGTAGTAGTGTTCAGTGGTGACATTGTGTGTATCTGTATTGCCTTTTTGTGCCATGGACTACCAGTGTTCTTGTTAATACTGGAAATAGAGTCTTTACTGCCTTTAAATCTAATGAGATGACAGAATCAATTCGTGAAACCTCAAAACTAATTCAAAAAACTCATTCTTAGAATTCAGTTCCTTCAAAACCACTGTTGGTAACCAAATCTATATCAGTCATGGTTCTACAGAAGAATGGAAGCACTATGTATGTGGCTAATGTGACTGGGGGTCAGCAAGCCTGAAACCTACATCAGCCCAGCAGGCTGGAAACTCTCATGCAGAAGCTGCTGATGCAGTCTGGATGCAGAATTTCTTCTTCAGAGCAAACTCAAGCTTGCTTCTGAGGCCTTTCAACTTATTTGATGAGATCCACCCACATTATTGAGAATAGTCTCCATTATTTAAAGTGAGTTGATTATATATATAATCTGCAAAGAAACTTCACAGCACCACCTAGATTAGTGTTTGATTAAATGACCGGACTCTGTAGCACCTAAAGCTCGCCACCACAAATATCAATCACTTATTTGACTCACAGGTCTACAATGTGGCTGTGGCAGCTCTGTCCTGGGCAAGGATGTAAGGGTAGTTGGGCTGCACCTTGCATTCTGTGGGTCATATAAGATGTTTGGCTCTGTGTGTGTCATTTTAAGGCCAGATCAACAGGGCAGAAGCTTCTTGGGGAATCTGTTCTCATGCAATTGCAGAAATGCTAGAGGGCATCGGAAACATGTGAGGTCTGCAGAGAAACTAGCATATGGTCATTTCTCTCCACCCATCACTGGGGTAGACATAAGTACTTTTGATAATAAGTGCAGTCTATATGATGAAAGGTAAAATAAACTATGCTCTAATGGATAAAGTTGTTTCCCACAGGCCTGTGGGTTAGCATTTCTTATGACTATACATGTATACTAGGATTGCACAACTGAGCGCATGAATGGTTGGTTATTGGAAACTAGGTTTCTCACTGTCAGAGACTTAAGAAATATTTAATTGATTGTATGACACATTCAGTTTCTACTGAAAATGACCAATCTATTTCCTTTCACAGCCAATAGTAATAATTTATCAGTGACAACATGATGACACCTCTTAGCCTATTCTACCATTTACCTAAACAAGCATTCATCAATCTTGTACAGTAAAAGTTTACAGATAAGTGAAGAAAGAAGACTAGAATAGCACATGTGGTTGCTATTAGAGGTGGAGCATCACTAATAACTGTTGTCCAGCTTGATATAGATGCAGGTGGTTATATAGGGACATGTCTATCGATATGTGCATGCTAACATGGGTTAGTATACACACAGATATTTCTTTGCTCTGTCAGAAGAGAGGTCCTAAAAGAAATGATTGGCTCAATCAATAAATGGTGGAAAACAACTCTGTCTCCTGTGCAGAGTAATCTCAAATAATTTATGTAGATAGGTCAGCCTCAGGAATGGGAAGCATAACCTCCAATTCCTTAGGTGTGAGGTACTCATAGTAACCTCTTTCCAACCAGTATTGTGTGGAGAGAAGAGGAAAAAAGAACTTTACAATAGAAAAAGCTGACAAACACTATGTCAGTGGGATGATAAGGTTAGCAAGCACTCGAGTGTTAAGTCGTATTGCTCACACGTATCCTTGATTGAATGGGATGAAAATGGCACTTTACTTCTGAGATCTTCCCCCTCCAAGACCACATTACCACACCGTAATAACTACAAAGAACATCAGAATAATCCCAATGGAAGAATATCTTACAAATTCCTGACCAGCATGCCTCAACACTGCCAACGTCTTTAAAAATAAGCAAAGTCTAAGAAACAGTCACAACCAAGAGGAGCCTAAGGAGAAAAGAGGACTAAATGTAATGAGGTGCCTTGGAAGCGATCCTAGAACTGAAAACAGACAATAGGAAAAACAAGGAAAACACAGATGAAGTTTAGACTTTAGACAGTAATAATGTATCAATAACAGTTCATTAATTGTAATCAATGTGACAAACTAATATAAGAATCTAACAGTAGAGAAAAATGGAAGTGGAGGACTGTCAGAAGAAAAAATACAACAATTGCAGTGAAATGATTGGATTGGCTTTTATTGTGATTCATGAATCAGGGCAGTATCTCCTTTAAACCTTCAGACAAGATGTTCTGATGAGCTGAGCCCTCGAGGTGGGATTTATATGCAGAAAAGGGCTGAAGAAAGCAGAATAAAAGCCAAAACATAGATTATTCATTACAAAGTTGCTTTCCTTTTAGGGTTAAAGCAGAGGGGACTTCTTTTAATGCCAGCTAAAATTGGCCTGTTTGGCTATTTGGCTATTATTCCCTCTTCCAATGTTTTAGAAAAGTCGAACATCTTGCTTTCAGTTTGGTGATGTGAAGCTTAGGATGAGTAGCTTCATTTTTTATTTAGTCTAGTAGAACCTAAGGTAGGGACTCAATCCAAATCGGTTATCTCCTACACATTTTATCTAACAGTATGTAGATATATACTTATATATCTGTGCTTATGTATTAATTATTTTTCTGAACAAACAGCTGATATTATTACCTACTGTTTTGATGAAAAAGAATAGAAGATTAGAATTAAAAAAAAAAGGAAGATTTGCTAAATTGGTAGAAGGTACAGATACAGCACCTGCTCAAATGTGTCATACTATGAAATAATTAAAATTTTAAAATTTATGCATTAAAATTAAATTCAGCATATAAAACAAACATGAGGTTATATTTAGATGGTTGAGTATCCTCATGTCTATTTCTCCGGTTGGTTTTTAGTAGCAAGAAGTTGATTCCAGATGTCTCCTGTTTTTATATAATCAATACATATCAAAATTTTCCTTCTTTTGTAGTAAAAGAATAACTTTACATCAGAGTTAGAGACAAGAAAATATTTACAGTTCTTCAAATAAAATGTTTAAGAGCAATTTTAAAAAATAATTGTTAGTAATAAAAATTTCATTAATACTAATGAGGCTCACAATCCACAAGATTTATCTAGGGGAAATATTTAATAGATTATATGATGTGTTTGGTTAATACTGATGATGGCTAATCTCTTTCTTTCAAAGTCAATAGTAGTAATCCATCAGTTCAGTGACAGCATGGTGATACCTCCTACTCTGTTTTACCACACTTACCTGATAAAGCATTAATCAATCTTGTATAATTAAAAAGAAATGCCAAAGAAGGATATAATAGTTTACTCTTCCAAAGGCTGAGAGGCGGAGTAATTTTGAGGAGTATAGAGTCTTCTATTTTGGAATTAACCATTCACCTTACTTTGATGTCTCATTTACTTATCCATTATATTTCGGCTCTGCATTGCTTTGTTTTATAGTGTCTGGGTGTCAACTTTCCGCGACAAATCTTAGTTTTGTTAGGGGTATCAAGTAATGAAAACAAAACACTCCAGAATAATTTTACAAAAACATTTATATGTATTTCAACCTACATTCATCATTTAGATATTATAATGACCATAGATGAATCTATTTTAGATATTTTATACATTGATTTTTCTTATTATTCACTCTGACAAATAGCTTGCTTCCTTACATCGTATTGTGAATAAAATTTAAGTTCCAGAGAGAATTATTCATGCATGTAGCTTTTTAATTAAAAAGAGAATGATTAGTCAACCTTTTTCATGAGATAACCATATGAAGGCAATCTTTAATTGCTCTTTTTGAAGTTTCTTTCTCAATTGCAAACTCAGGTTTCACAATGCATGTTGGGAATGAGCGAGAAGAGATTGATCTGCTGGTACATGGAGTCTGAACGCCTGCTGGCAGGATGGAGAGGTGCCTGGAAATGCACACTCTTCATCACACTGAATGATGGCAGGATATTTATACTTCCTAAAAGCTGGGGATTAAGACTTTTTTCATCTCTTCATTTTCCTCTCTTCAGTATACCCTGGAGCTCTTGTTTCTTACAGGTGGTTGTAAACACAGTTTTCCCACAAGTTCTGCTTCACGATTTCCTCCACTATGTTAGTGTTCTCTCTTACATGCCATGCTGTGCCTAATCGCTTACTATTTCTGTGTCTTTTCAGACGACATTCTTTGTGGTGCCATAGCACATGGATTTCAGAACCGCCTGTGAGGAGGTGAGTACAGAGCTTTCTGCTTTTCAAACAGGAAAAACAGAATATAAGCAGGAAACACTTGGCTCCAATTTATATAGGGGAAACTCTGCTTTTGGCAGAAGATGGAGAGAGGGGTATGGGCTCTTTTTCTTTCCAGATTATGTTCTCCTTCTGCAAAGATAGAAAACCTAACTGTGCATGGAAAGTCTCGGACTTTAACTCTTTGTTTAGGAAGACTGGAGCATATTAAATATAATTGAGTTGGTCGTCTCCACCAACTCTGCACTTTTCAGGTAGTGGAAGTGTTGGAAAGAATTCTTTTCACATAAATGGTAATAAATTATAAGACATCTAAGGTTCCCTTCAGCCCTATAATTCTATTATTTTATGATTCTGATATTATTTAAGTAATTCGATATTATTTAAGTATTAATACACAGCAATTTAGATTCTCTGTAGAGCTGTCATCACATTTCAGCATGAGTTAAAGTGGCACATTAGTCTTTCAAGGATGTGAAAGAGCGTTCAAGTGTACAGTTCAATAGTGCATGGACATGGGCCCCCAGGGAATATAACCATTCCATCTTAGGAAGAAAGACTATCTTTTTTTTTTTTTTTTTTTTTTTTTTTGCTAAATATGTAACGTTCAAAACATTGTGTTTTCATTCTTCAGGCAAAATAAAAATACATGCAGCTTAAAAATATTTTATATTTGTTTAAAAGATTTAAGGCATTTTTTATTGTATATAAACGACCCAACAAAAACCAACCATAACTGGATTACCTCTGGTAGTGTTAAAATCAAACCGGGGAAAGGCTTCAGTTCTTAACCTTGTGAAGACTGTTATTTTAGTGAAAATGTCATGTGTTTACAGTTCTTGCTTGAATTTGTGGAACATAACTCCTTATTTTCTTCTAAAGCAATTGAAAAATATATATTTAAAAATATTTGTCACAGTTGGTACAAAGTTCAGACTGTAAATATAAGGGTTTTTCAGAAAACTAATAAATTGCTTTTATATTTCTATTCTTATGTTTCTACTTTTAATGCTTTAAGCATAACATTTTAAACATATCTCTATGCTAATACTCATCAATTATAATGCAGTTTACAAACCTTTCTCATGCGCTACACAGAATACTATAAGGTCAGAGTATGCAAATTATTCATCTTTTTAACTTAGCACTTATTGGTTCATATATTTTTAAAAATTGAATTAATGTTCTAGAAGCTTTGTATGTTATATTTTAATTGTATTGTTTCAGGGTTTTTTTTTTTTTTTTTTTTTTTTTCTGAGACGGAATCTCGCTCTGTCACCCAGGCTGGAGTGCAGTGGCATGATCTCGGCTTACTGCAAGCTCCGCCTCCTGGGTTCTTGCCATTCTCCTGCCTCAGTCTCTCGAGTAGCTGGGACTACAGGCACCCACCACCACGCCCAGCTAATATTTTGTATTCTTAGTAGAGATGGGGTTTCACTGTTAGCCAGGATGGTCTCGATCTCCTGACATCGTGATCCACCGGCCTCGGCCTCCCAAAGTGTTGGGATTACAGGGGTGAGCCCTCGCACCCAGGCCATTTCTGGTTTTAATTGCATACTATGTAGCAAGTCTTCTATTTCCATTAATATGCAACCCTTATGTCTTGATTAGTAAGGCACTCATTGAAACCCAGTGGATATTTGTGTGAATGAGATACTTACGGGACACATGACATTCATACGATAGAGACTGGACAGTGGCCAAATACTATTTTAACAAATAGTATTTTTATTTCAGAGGCTGGAAAGATTTACAAGACCTTTTTGTAAACAAAATTGTTTTGATGTACTGATTTGAGATATTTCTCGAACTCCGTTAAGATTAGAAGATTTATTTACAATGGTAATGCTGTGATCACTATGCTAGTTCTTGTAAATTAGTAATCCTTAGTACTGAAAAGAGTGACAATCTGTTACTGAGATAACAATATACAAGAGGAAATTAAATCACTTATATGAGATATAGCTAAATATTGCTGAAGTCACTATATGTGATGCCAAAAGACAATCATGATCAATTTTGGGGCAAATATTTACTTAACGGAATCCATGTGTTCAGGAAAGTGAGGAAAGAGGAAATTAAATCACTCATGATTCCTCATTTTTGAATAGAATGATTTCAGAAGGCTTCAAAGAGAATTCAGTCTGGTGCTAGGACTTGAACAATGGCTACAATTTAGTTAAGGAAAAGGCCATGATTAAAAGTAATCCAGGAATGGCAATGTAAATGATGAGGCAGTTTGAAGCACTTCACCTAAAAGAACATTTAGTGCACTACTGCTACAATGCAGTACAGTGTAAGACAAAACGAATTAAATAGTATTTGGCACTTGAAACATGGAAATACTGTGGATGCTTGCAAGAAAATTTGCAGTTCATATTACGGTCTTTGTCTACTTTTTGTAGTTTGTCGTTTTTTACATCTGACATTGTGAATATATTTCAAAATTAAAAGACCTTAAATTTTAACGTTTCATTAAAATACATGTTGTACTTTTTGAAAGACTAGAACATAAATTAAAAGGGTCTTAACTTTTAAGTAGAAAATGGATGACATTCTACTTTTATAAAGATCCAACGTAGGTCCTACATTTAAGAAAGTACAAATTCTTAATAAGTTTAAATGTGAGAGAAGTTAAATGTGAGATTTGTTTAAAGAGTAAACCCACGCAAATTCATAAACATTTTCTTGATTTGCAAAATTTTTCTCCCATTATGTAGGTTGCCTGTTCACTGTGATGGTAGTTTCTTTTGCTGTGCAGAAGCTCTTTAGTTTAATTAGATCCCATTTGTCAATTTTGGCTTTTGTTGCCATTGCTTTTCGTGTTTTAGACATGAAGTCATTGCCCACGCCTATGTCCTCAATGGTATCATTTTTAAATTAATCTTCCCTTTAAAATTATAAGTTTGGTGTATATTTTATAAAGTACAAAATACGTTCATACAGTATCTATATCACATACATTCCTTTATTTATGTGCAATGGTATGCAAAGTCAACAAAATTTGGAGACAAATGATGTCACATTAATAGAAAGAAAGAAGATAAGTGTGTGTCTTCAGTTTATATTAAAATTTGAGACCAATAATTATGTAGGTGATTTTCGATATCTAAATAATTTGAGTCCACAGATCTGTAAAGACTTTGCAGGTGGGGCTGTTTTAGGTTTGCAGCACCAACCAGCAACTGCTCCCATGATTCGGTCTCCCATTTTTAGCTCTTAAAACACTTCAGGAAGGAGTGGAGACCAAACCTCTTTCTCTATCAGAGAGCCTCCTAGTAGTCTGACTTTGGGGAAGACCATCTGTAAGTTCCAGAGTAGTCTCTTACTCATTTTATCTCTCTAGTGGCCATTGCTTCCATATACGAAGAATAGCTGCTTCAAGTGTTCTTTTCAAAATTATCCACACCCCAATAGGAGATTATTGATAACCATAATTCTCTCCAGTGAAAGATGCCAGTAGCCATGTCACGGTGTACAGGACAACTGGGGATGATGGCATTCTTAAATAATCTGTGTATGAGGTAAAGCAGGCCGTGCGGTGAAGAGCCCAGCTGCCTGGGTTGAATTCTTCCTCTGGGTCCCTCTGCACTTGTCTAATCTGTAAAAGCAGATGGCTGCATTAATTTTTGTTAAGGGAGAAAAACAAATTAATACTTTTTGTCACACAGTGAGCACTATATGAATAATTATTATTATACAACAAATAATGAAATATATGACCATATTTCATGAGTGAGGATCTTAGTCCAGCAACGCTGATTCTAATCAAGACAGTGCCCTGAAATGGAGTTTATCCATCTTCCTGCATCTCCCAGAGAAGCTCTGACTCTAATGCACCTGTTTATCAGTCCCCAACTTCCCTGCTCAGTGCCTGTTTCTGTCAACAGTAAGTGTGTTTTAACTTTCCCATTTCTTCTCCGTCTTCTACTCTGCTACAAGAAATACATTTAGAACACATAACAGTGAACGTATTATCTTCTTGCTCACATTTATATATGGCGTCTCCCTTACCGTCCACCATCCGCCCACCATACAGGGCGTTGGCCCACCTGGTCCTCTCCAAACATCTCTCCCGCAGCGGCCCCTGCTGGACTACACAGGCTCAGAGGCAAGCGCACCCTCATTTTCCTGCATCATCACGTGGAGTGCATTTTCACGCTTCCATATCTTTACTCATGTGTTTCCTCTTGATTAAAATGACATTTGTTCCTTTAATTATGGTTTCCTCAGTTTATTTTTTTTTCAAGACAAACCACACATATTTCCTATCCTCCATAAACCCCCATCCCTCAAGAATATTAAATTCCTGTCTCCATGTTGCTCCCTTATCAGATGTCATATTGTGAGTTTTTATATATGTACTTTCAAAATAAGTACGAGATCAGGCGTGGTGGCTCACACCTGTCATCCCAGCACTTTGGGAGGCCGAGGCGGATCACCTTAGGTCAGGATTTTGAGACCAGCGTGGCCAAAAGGGTGGTGAAACCCCGTCTCTACTAAAAATACAAAAAACTTAGCTGGGCGTGATGACAGGCGCCTGTAATCCCCGCTCCTTAGGAGGTGAGGCAGGATAATCGCTTGAACCCAGGAGGCGGAGATGGTAGTGAGCCAAGATCGCTCCACTGCACTCCAGCCTGGGGCAACAAGAGCGAAACTCCGCCTCAAGAAAAAAGTAAAATAACATAAGGTAAAACAAGTACGAATACTATGAGTTCAGGGACTATTGTCTAATTCATGTCTGATTCTCTGTTAATGCTGCACAGTATTTGCAAAATTAATACATGTGTGGGATTTTAGATGTGTTTCCATGTGCACCAGCTGAATTTTCATGGTAACATGTGTAACATCTCTAACTTCTGGAAACCTATTTTAACCGATCTGTTTTAGCACTTTGTGTGCTGTTTTCTCCAGTAGCTATTTTTTGGAATGTGTGTTTGTGAGTGTGTGTGTGTGTGTGCGCTTCTGTGATTTATTCTAAAAAAAAAAAATCCTCCTCATTCTTTATTTTCTGCAACTCTTGTCCTTTCAGAATCCAAAAGCGAGCTCAAAGACTGTATTCTGTTCTCCAGACAACTATCTAATAATTTGTGAACATTTTACATAGTATTTACGTGAATGATAGCTTTGGCCACATAAAAATTAAATGAGAGTATCCTCATAGTTTTGTTTTAGATCCTCAAACTTTCCCTGGATGATCTTTGGCATCTCTTTGATGTGTACCAAAAGTATATTTCTGGGCTTTCAGGGAAAACCCTTTTCTCATCCTGAAGTTCAAACAGAGCATTATTTGTGATTACCAGCTATTCCATTACACTTCTGGGGGAGAAATGTCCTGGAATATACTGTACTAAAAAATCAGCAAATGTGTTCATTTATGATCACTTGGCTTTGATGTATTATTTCATATTGCCACTCCTCAGAGTGGCTTCGCCCCTCAGAAAGGCTCCATGTCGGCCCCTCTCCAATATCCCATTGTAAGCATGAGTGACTTTGTGTAAAAACATAGGAAAATTATGTTCTATATTAGGGAAAGTACAATATGCTTGTGTTAAAAGATTTTTGTCCTCTAGATATATTCACTTAAAATTTTCTCTAGATTAGTCAGCCTGGTTTCATGAGCATGTGTGTGCTAGTGCCATAGATGAAGAAAAAATGCTTTCCTTGCTCATGAAAAAGCTTCTGTTTTTCCTAAAAAGACATCATAACTTTTACAAAATAATTCTAAACTAATATAAGAGTGTATATGATAGATGGCAAAAGAGTATGCATTAGCACACAAGAACAAAAGCAGTTTAGAGAAATAGGTATCTTTGGAGGCGACAGTATATAAATATATTCCCATCAATATTACAGAGGATAAAGTAGCAGACTCCCAGCAATAGCCATGGAAATGTGTATTCCAAGAGAAAGTCTGGTATTATTTGCCTGGGATAGCGTGCTCCTTAAATTTAAAGATAGATTTCACATATAAGTGATGTAATATGATATTTGTCTATCTGTGTCTGGCAGTCTTTACTTTGCAAAATGTCCTCCAGCCTTATCTATGTTGTTCCAAGTGACAGAATTTTATTCCTTTTTTATGGCTGAATAGTTCTCCACTGTGTATAAGTACCATATTTTCTTTATCCATTCATGTGTTAATGGGCATTTAGATTGATTTCATATCTTAGCTGTTGAGAATAGTGCTACAATAAACATGGGAGTGCAGATGTCCCTTTGACATACTCATTTCATTTCCTTTGGATATATACCCAGTAATGGAATTGCTGGATCAGTTTTTAATTTTTAAAGGAATCTTCATACTGTTTTCTGTAAGGGCTATGCTAATTTACATTTCTACTAACAGTGTATAAGAGCTTGCTTTTCTCCACATCTTCACCAGCATTTGCCAGTTTTTGTCTTTTTGTTAGTCACCATTCTAACTTGGGTGAGGTGGTGTTACATTGTGGTTTTGAATTGCATTTTCCTGATAGTAAGTGATGTTGGAGTTCAGAGTAGAAGAGTGGTTACCACACACTGGGGCTCATGGGAGGGTCGGAGGTGGGGAGATGTTAGCCTACAGGTACAATATTACAGTTAGATGGGAGGAATGAACTCTGTTACTCTATTGCCCAGTAGGATGATCACAGCTAACAATATTGTATATCACAAATAGCTGAAAGAGAGGGTTTTGAATGTTCTTACGACACATACATTATTACTGTTTAAAGTGATTTATATGCTAATTATCATGATTTAATAATTACATAATATATACATGCATCAAAACCTCACATTGTTTGCCATTAATACATGCAATTACTATTTGCTAATTTTTTAAATTTGAAATTAATTAACCAATTAACTCTGAGGATAAATATATATCCCCATATATATATTCCACTATGTTAAGAATGACTCAATAATTACTAAAAGAAAATGTCATTTCCAAAGTGGTCATTATTCCTATGGACTTTTTGGTGCAGAATAAGAGCTAAATATTATATTCTGTCTCAAAGGAATTACCTTTTGTGTCTGTGACAAATGGGAATGTTAAGTGCATTTGCTAGGGACAATATTTATATTAATCCAGATTAATATATGTATTCTGGATAAGTGACAAGACTCATGGACTTATTTGGTGATTACTTAGGTAATAGCACAAGTTCAGAAATCTTTGCAGTCCGTTTTCACAATTCCCCAAAGTATATAAAGCCAACATATTGGATTAGGCATCAAAAATCTTGGGTCTTAAACTGGGCTCTGTTTTTAATTAACTATGTTAATTTGGGTAGTTTGCTTCACCTTGTTACCATTATTTCCTTCTAGGTATAAACTGTGTGTGCGTGTGCGTGTGCGTGTCTGTGTGTGTTTTCATGCATGTCTGTGCATGTGTGTATGCATGCATGTGTTTGTTGGTGACTAGGAATGCTGAAATACTGGAGTTTACAGTAGGCTGGGGCAGTGGGAGAGGAAATGGAGAAATAGGAGTGTGATCCTTCTTTCTGAAGTGATAGAAATGTTCTAAAATTGATTACAGTGATGGTTGCACACCATTGATTATATTTAAAAAAATATGAATTGTACATTTTAAAGGGTTGAATTGTATGGAATTTGAATTATATCTCAATAAAGCTATTACCTTTTTATTTTTAGATTATAAGTATTACAAAACCTCTCATTATTTTAAAAATATAGTACATGTACCATAATTCTTACTCCCCACTTCTTTGTGTGAATTTTGTGACATCGTTTTCCTTATCCGAGAGTTCGCTTTACTTGAAATCATTCTCCTTTTTCCTTGCACCCATGCTAAGTATTCAATTTCAGGCTCATCAGACTGTGTTTTCACCACCTCTTAAATGTTATTCACCATATTTTGCTGTAAATTGGCCACAAAATTACAACCTATAAACTAAGTATAATTTTTCCTCTTTTTTTTTTTTAATCTGAAGACAAAGACAGGAATTTGTTTGCTGCAGGATGGTAACCAGGAGCCTTTCAAAGTCCGGCTGCACCTAGCCAAAGATATTTTGATGATCCAGGAACAGGATGTGATATGTGTGTCTGGTGAGCCTTTCTATTCTGGTGTAAGTAACTTTTTCTTCTGTTGAATTTTTTTGTGTTTGTTTTTTGTTAATAAAAATGTTTATTCAAAGACCATTTTAAGTATGTTTTTCTTTCAGTGTCTAGTCAATGGTTCTGCATGTAATTTTTGCTTACATCATTAAGTAAGCAGTGGCCCTGTATGAGAACCTTGCCTAGGGTCCATGAACATGCCTTTTGGGCCCATCTCCAGCCTGTTGTCTATGACTCCTAGCTGTCATCATATGATGAGAGTGACACTGGATTTTCTGATCATTCTACCTTTTCACATAGAGAATTAATTGAGAACTGCACATGGTGGTGTCCTCTGCTCTGGTCTTACGTTTCATGAACTTGGACTATTGAGAGTGGTGTCAGGGTGGGGCCCATCCTTCAGCATCACTGAAGCAGGAGACATTAGGCAGCAGTCACTGAACTCAGCGTGAGTGATATTCCCCTGGGATAGTGTCTGAATGATTCTGTGGACCTCCCTAATAGAATTATGCGCAAGTGCTGTAGCAAATTCTGTTCTTCAATGCTCCAACCCATTGACACATTACACTGCTCCTAATCTAGCTTCAGAAAGAGCCATAAATTACAGTGCAAAACTGATTGCTGTACTTACTCATGTCGAGGCAGCATAGCTGTGGAAGACATCCTTAGATGAGATTAGATTTTATTCCACTAAAAGACATTGTCATAAAACAAGTTATGGAGTTTATCATTCATTGTATAATAATACCATTAAAGACATCTTTTTTAACAATGTTGCCATATGTGATCTCAGAAGAAAATTATAGACAGTAGCATGTAGTCTGCTCCCTGCTTTTCCCAAACATCTGCAGCTATTTAGCATGAAGATTTAATTTGTACCTTATTAATAGACTTACCTTGGAGTGTTTAGTAGGTGGCAAATAATGCTGAACTTGAGTTTTCACATCACTTCTTACTAATACCCTATGGGAGTAACTCAAGGCCCTAAATCAATAGGCCTTTGCCAACTAAAGATAATAGACATTTTACAGACTGTTAACTATTCTTTTGTCACAGACCATTTAAATCATTCTGAATCATGGGCCTGGATGTCAAGGCTGATTAAACTGTTCCCATGAGGTTGTCCTTTCTTCCCTTTGGTTAATAACAGAGAAGTGGCATGAGTCATACAACTCTCTAGAATAAATATATCACACTGGTCCCCAGATAAAAAAATAAAATCAGTAAAATTTACTACTTCAATACTGAAATAATATTATTGATTTTAAGTTTCACAGTCAATAATAACTGATACACATAGACCTACTTTCTCCTTAAAAGATAATTGTACATATAAATAAAGCTCAGAGTGCTAGGAAGAATGAAGGCAGAATTAAGGAGAAACATCTTATGACGTTGTCAACAAATTCAAAAAAGCATTTGAAAATTCAACACCCATTTTTACAAAACACTTTAAGCAAGATATGAGTAGACAAGATTTTTCTTAATCTGACAACTGTCATCTAATTAAAGCCTCTCTCTAATATCTTAGTTAACATTGAACATTCTCTCTGAGATTGAAAGCAAGTCAAGGATAATACCTTGCTCACTAATCAATGTTGTTCACCATGCTCCTACAGCAAGTCACAAATTATATATAAAGAAAAAAATTATAGAGGAAGAGGCAAAATGGCTTTTCTTGTAGATTTCATGATGGTATGCATAGAAAACCTTAAGAATTCTACAAAAGATAGAATAACACAAAAATTTAGCAAGGATGCTGGGAATAAGGACAATAGCCCAAGTTAATTGTGTTTCTAAAACTACCTACAAGCAACTAGAAATGAAATAAAAATGCAATCCATAATACGTCAGAAAGACAATACACTTAGGAACAAATTTAACAAAAGATGTATATGATCTCTGTCCTGAAAACTATAAAAACTATGTTGAAGGAAATTTTAAAAAATAAACAAATAATGGAGAAATATGACATGATCGTAACTAGAAAGCTAAGTGTTGATAAGCTGTCACATCTTTCCAGATACCCTAAACCAGTCAAAACCCCAAAATATTTTTGCAGATATGTACAAGTTGATTCCAAAATTCACATGGAAATATAAAGGACTTACAATAACCAGAACAATCTTGAATAAAAAGAGCAAAGTTGGAGGGTTTATTCTAACTGATTTCAGAGCTTGCTATAAGATTCTAATAATAAATACAATGTAATGTTGTAATAAATTCAAGTATATCAGTCAATGGAACATTATAAAGAGCCCAAAATAGACCCACTCTTATATGGTCAGTTAAGTTTTGTTTTTCTTTTTTTTTTTAACTGTGATAAAATATACATAATATAAAATGCACCATCTTAACTATTTTTAAGTATAAAGTTCAGTAGCATTTCGTGCATTCACTTTGTTGTGTAACTACCACCACTATTCATTGCCGGAATTTTCATCATGCCATACTGAAACTCTGTATGCACTGAACCGTACTCCTCCTCTTAACCCCTTGTTAACCACTGTCCTACTTTCTGCCTCTACATTTGACTATTCTGGTTAAATCTTGTAAGTGGAATCATACAATATCTGACCCTTTGTGGATGGCTTATTTCAATTATCACAATGTCTTCAAGGTTCATCCATGTTGAAGGATATATCAGAATTTCATTCCTTTCAAAGGCTGAATAACATTCCATTGTGTATTTATACCACCTTTTGTTTATCAATGTTCACTCGGCAGTGAACAGTGAGTTTGTTTCCACCTTGGCTTTTTGGAAAAATACCTCTAAGAACATGGGTGTACAAATATGCTTGAATCACCACTTTCAATTATTTGGTGTATATACCCAGAAGTGAAATGGCTGGATAAATAGTAATTCTTTGTTCAACTTCTTAAGAAACTGTCATACTCTTCTCCACAGTAGTTGTACCATTTTCCATTTCAACAAGCAAAATACAAGAGTTTCGATTTCTCCACATCCATGTCAACCCTGTTGTTTTCAGTGTTTTTGATAATAGCTATCCAAATAAGTGTGAGGCTGAATCTCACTGTGGTTTCCATTTGCATTCTCCTATCAATTAATAATGTAGAGCATTATTTTATGTGCTTATTGTACACTTGTGCGTCTTCTTTGGATAAATGTCTATTCATATCCTTTGTCTGTTTTGGAATTGGATTGTTTGGTTTTTTGGAGCTGAGTTGCAGGAGTTCTTAATGTATTTTAGATACTAGTCCTTTATCAGGTATGTGATTAGCAATATTTTCTCCCAAATTGTAGGTTGCCTTTTTACTCTATTAATAGTATTTTGATGCACAAAAGTTTTTAATTTTAATAAAGTCTGTGTCAATTTTTTCTTCTATTGGTTGTACCTTTTGTACCATCTCCAGGAAATAATTGCCAAATTCAGTGTCATGAATCTTTTCCCCCTATATTTTCTTCTAAGAGTTTACAATTTTTGCTCTTACTTGTAGGTTTGGTTATATTTTAAGTTAATTTCTGTTCTGTACATGGCATTAAAGTTTGAACTTCATTCTTTAGCATTTGGATATCCAGTCCAAAATAAATTGCCATATACACAAGGGGGTTTTTATGGCCTCTCTATTCTAGTTTATTAGTCTATATATTTGTCTTTACGCCCGTAACACACAGTTGTGCCTTTTGTTTATTTGTTCGTTTTTACTGTAGCTTTATAGCAAATTTTGAAATCAGCTAATTTGGGTTCCTTAAGATCTCAAATACATTTTAGAATGAATTTTTCTATTTCTTGAAAAAATACCATTGCAGTTTTTATAAGGATCATGTTGAATTTGTAGATCACTTTTAGTAGTATGGACATCTTAATAATAGTAAGCTTTCTGATAGATGAACATAGCATCTTTCCATTTATTTATGTATACTTTACATTCTTTTAGCAATGCTTTGTTGTTTTCAGTGTACAAGTCTTTCAACTCCTTGCTTGAGTTAAACCCTTAGTATTTGATAATTTTTGATAGTATTGTTAAAAAATTATTTTCTTAATTTATTTTTGGATTTTTTATTGTTAGTGCATAGAAATGTAATGGATTTTTAAATTTTGATTTTGTATTCTGCCACTTTGCTGAATTTATTAGTTCTAATAGTTTATTGTGGAATGTTTATGGTTTTCTACGTATAAGATTATGTCATCTGTGATCAGAGATAATTTTACTTATTCCTTTCAAATTTGGATGACTATTCTTTCTTTTTCCTGCCTTATTACTCTGGTTAAGATTTCCAATACTATGCTGAATAGAAGTGGTAAAAGCAGACTTTTTTTTCTTATTCCAGACCTTAAAGGAAAAGCTTCATTTTTGAGTATTTTTGAGTACGGGTTTTTCATATACTGCCTTTGTTATGATGAGGTAGTTTTCTTCTATTCCTACTTGGCTGAGTATTGAGGCAGTGTTGAATTTTATACCAAGAGGTCTTGAAATTTGTCAAATGCTTTTTTCTGAATCAATTGAGATGATCAAGTGTGCTTTTCAATTTTTTTTTCTTTTGCTCTATAAATTGTTTTTCTTACTTGAAAGTACTTCCTGGGACCTCTGTCCCAGGAAGGAATTCTAACTTCTAGGTCTGCATCTGAGGAAAGCCAATCTACAACAGAGAAAGTAGTGCACCGTACTTTCAGAGAGCCGGATTTTCTCTGAGAAAACTCCCTTTTTCTGTTTTTTAAAGCCTCCCACTGGTAAAGGCCCGCAGACACCTTTGTATTAAAAGATACCCTCTTTAAACTTGACCCTTTACAGTGCACTGTTTGTGTTGTATTGCCACAATACATAGTTCATGTGCTCTCTGGACAGTGATCACCCCACTTACCAGCTAATTACGAGATGCATTTGAGACAGTAAGAGATTAGGCCAGAGATAATCATCCAACTTTGGAGAGCAGAAAGTCTTATCTGAGTATTACAACAAATAGAGTATTAACTCTCAGTCTGTGCAAGTGAGTGGAAAGGTTAGGAGAATATTCTAAGGAAAGGCAAATGTCAGTCTGAGGAACCCTAGGCAAGGAGCTATTTTGTTATCTGGAAGCAATGCTCTGAAGGTCTGGGTGGAAAATAGGACAGTCAGGGGCAAGGGTCTGAGAAGAAGATTGCTATCAGGCAGTTTACTCATGAGGGGGAAAATGAAGCTCCAGTTTGCTGAAAAATCCTGAGAATTATAGAATGTTATATGTTTTTCTCCAACTCCACAATAGGGAGGAAGTTGTTTATATTTTCAGGTCTATCACATTAGCTGAAAGCTGCTTCTAGGATTGTTTTTGCCTGACACTTTTGACCTGCCTTGCTCAGGCTGAAAGAAAATGTTACAGTTTAGTCAAGCTCTTCTTGCCCACTGCACAGAAGAAAAGCCAATACAATGAGACAGCCAGTACTGCATTAGAGGAAGACTTTAATACTTACAAGGCAGTGAAGCAAAGAGGACAGGAGATATTTCTCAAATCTCTCTGCCTGGGGATTTGAAGACTAGGGTTTTAAGGATAGTTTGGTGGGCAGGCAGCTAGGCAATGGGTCCTACTGACTGGATGGATCAGGGCCTAAATCACAGTGCTGCTAAAACTGTCTTCAGGCATTTAGCTAGCTCCTGGGTGGAGTCACTTGTCTGGGTGGCATTAGCTGGTATACTAGAATGCAAAGTCTGAAAAATATCTCAAAGACTAGGCTGAGGTTTCACAATAGCAA